TTTTTAAATATACTGTATATATTATGAGCTGGGATTATTCATTAAAGCTCAAGCTGCCAAAGTACGCGTCGGTATGTCCTTAAACACGTTATCAAAGAGTTCAATAATTAAATTATATATACGTCGAAATTATTGTTATTGGATGAATAGAGAGAAATGACACCAAGTTTCTTATATCTCATTAAAGATATTGAAATAATGATAACTACGATGGGGAGTGAAAGATTCATTTGACGAAAAATTACAAGATTGTAATCATTGTATACAATCGACTTTTTATAATAGCGATACAAATTTCATTATCAAAACCAATTTTGTCAAACAAGTGTTTCCTTCAACTTGATTTTTTTTCTTTCTAAACAGATACTCACATGGATTAATGATATTGGCAACTTGAAATGAAAGCAATAAATTCCCTGCTGAGATTTCAGTACTTTATTTTTTTTAAATTATAACTTGTCCCACCTATAATAAAGTTTCCGAAAGTCAATTTGAAACTTGTACGTATAATAATACTGGAAAACGAAATATTTAGAATTTTAAATTTTGCATCTCTGGAAATAAATAAATCAATTCTGCATGTTATATTTCTGTATGACTTGGGCTTGGAAAACCTACCATGTACGAAGGTCGCATGCAAAAATTTAATGTACCATTCAGGAAGCCCATTAGAGCCCAATATAAACTTTTTTGGTTCAATAGAAACTTATTAGTATATAGTATTTGATAGTTAAAAGGTTTTCTATTTAACATTTTAGCTACATTTTAAAGCTCATTGCAATTTTATAACAAACGGAAACCCACGACGACATACACAAACACTTTCAAAATTTACAAATATTTCTGCATTACTTATACTTTAATAGTACAAATACAAATAGGTATGTGTTTTAGTGCTTACAATATAAACTCATAGATCTGGGCATTTAGGGACTCACGCGACAGTCAGTCTAGCTACAATGCTAGAAATATAAATATACGAGCAATGCCGTGTATTTATTTTTATTTTAATACGACAATTTCAATTACTCATTTCTAAGTTTACTATTCAAATAAGATGCCAAATTATTTAACATTCATACCAAAAAAAAAAATAAGATGCCAAATTGCATTTCAGTCATGGCAACCCAAGGCACAACAGTATCTATCTGATTATGATTTCTAGGAACATGCAATATATGTGAATTTTAATATAAATTGTATCGTTCAACTACATCTTTTGACCCATATTATCAGATTGGTAACAAGTTTACTAAACATATCGTTACTTTATAATTTTTAACGTTTTAAAATATACCAATCATTAAAACGATACCAATTTTTTTAACCAAAAACATTACACTCAGGTTTAATTGTATATCTTAATCTTATAACTATTTTCTACAGTTTATCGGTACAACTTACAGCTAAAAATCTTATTATTCCCAATGGAACCCATAAAATAAACATATACTGCTTGTATTTATGAGTTATGACCCTATATCCATCTAATACTATATCCAAAAAGTTGTATTATCGTCTAATCCTAAAAATTGTACTATTATCGTTTAATTGTTTTAATCATATCACAATCAATCTCAAATTCACATGGTTAGTCTTTATTACAAACACGTCACGTCGAATTAAAACTCTTGCCGGTCCGCTTTAAGTTCACTAGTTTGACTCGGAAACTCATTTAAAGAAAGAAAACATCAACAACATTGAAATCATTCATTGCATATAATATATGCTACTATATTTACTAGTAGTATTTTTTTTTTTTGTATTATGTATTACTATTACGTTTGAAAAACAGATTGAATTCGTAATATAATTTTTTCTTACTATCTTTTTTACATTTCAAAATATCATAATCGTTAATGGAGATTTTTAACTAATGATTTCAGTTATCTATTAATGGAGATTATATGGAGATATGTATCATTTTGGAAAAAAGAATTATTCTTTAAATTAAATAATCTAAAAACTGTTTTTGGATATCAAAAAAAATTATGAACAAAAGATTTGGAACTTTCACAGTTTATAAAAAAAATTATATATATGGTATTTGAAATGTAAATTTTGAATTTCTGGCACAATGCTCAACTCCAATAAAACAACACATGGTCTCTCAGATCTCTGCTGACACTCCCATCAATTTTCGTTTATTATTAAAAATTATCTTCATTTGTTAAACCATTTAACAAATATTTTAGTAAGTTTAATCTCGGTTATGGGAACTAAAAGAACACGTGGAAGGATATAAGTGGCGACAGATCAGTCAAAGCCAAGACGGAGCCAACCGAGACACGATCTAGGGGTACAGTCAAAGCAACACACTGTCTTGGTCAAACGTCTAGCTGGAGCTTTTGCATGTCTTGGGCCCCACATTACTTTTTTTTTTGTTGTTGTTCGTGCTAATTTAGTAATTTAGGGAATTTTTCTACTTTTTCAATAGGTGGTTATTTCTCCCTTGAAAGCTGAAAAGTGAAAACTACTCAAGTGGAGTATTATTATTTTTGCAATCTATATAGTATTTTTGTTTAATAATGATTCAAATAAAGATTAATTAAATACTAGTACTAAGTTAAAACGAAAAATGTGAAAGTTTTTTTTTT